CTTTATTGATGTTTACAGGTACTGCAGCATGTACAAATGGTCAGTTTCATTGCACCAACGCAGGTCACAAACCTCTTTATCTCCCATCATCCAGAGTAAATGATGGTATATGTGGTAAGTACACACCACCTTCACAAGTGTTCATTTATTCAGCAGTCACCTCACCATTATACATGTACCTTCGCAGAATTCCCACATATAAACCTGTATTACCATAATCAGTGTGCTATTGAAGGATTAATGTTTGTCACAAAGAAACCTATGCCAGGTGATGTTATGATACATAAAGAAACAGTATTATGCGAAGAATCCCAGTTATCATTTCATTATTAAAAATGGCGCTAAGACTCTTACTACATTAATACATCTATGAAATACATAAAGCACATTATGTTTTCATTTAAAGTATTCAAATAAGAAACGCTGAGGTAGGTCTGATTTTTTACTCAACATGCATCCTAGTAACTCATCTAGGATATAATGCTTCAAGTTAGTAATGCTGTCATATATCTTTTAACTGTAACACTGAGTTAAACTCCGTGTTCAGTGGTTATAAATTTGTATGAAGAACATGAATTTTATGTAAGAAGAGAGGGTGATTTAAATACTGTGCTTGTGAGTTCCTGCAATCTTTGAAATCGAGAGGAATGTTTTATTGAGATACTTTTACGTCATCAAAATTGGTCATCCTCAATTTTTAAGCATCACACATATTGACATGACTTGTTTCAGCTTGTATACTTTTGCCAGACTGGGACACTGACTTGCTTATTCTGTGCCTAGCTGATGCTATTGATGTATTTTTAGACATTGTTATTCTAACGTCAATGTACATTATGTTTTCACTCTTAGACTGTTGTGATACAAGTGATGAATACGATGGTAAAGTAACATGTGATAATAACTGTAAAGAATTAGGGCGAGAAGCCAAAGCGAAAAAAATAGAAGAAATGCAGGCATTTAATGAAGGATACAGAATAAGACAGGATTATGTGGCAGAAGGAAAACAACTCAGAGATGAAAACCAGGTACATATACATGTTTATTCGGAAGGTTTTCATTTTTTTTACTCCCGTGTGCGAAGCACAATAAGGGAGTCTTTGCAGTTAGTGTGTGTGTGTATGTGTATGTATGTATGGGTGTGTGTGTGTGTGTGTGTGTGTCCGTCTGTTCCACTGATGTCTCAAGAACCATACATCAGTTTTTGATGAAACTTGGTGCATAGATGCTCTGGGCCAATGTGCAGATTTGATTAGGTTTTGGTAAAAATCCATGCATATTAATTACCTAATTTGCATGATAATTAGCTGATTTTTAGCTGTTCCATGACTGTTCCACTGATATCTAAAGAACCACTCATTGGATTTTGATGAAACTTGGCACACAGATGCTCCAAACTAATGCGCAGATTTGATTAGTTTTGGGTAAAAATCTGTGCAATATTAATTACCTAATTTGCATAATGATTAATCAATTTTCGGCTTTTCCACTGATATCTCAAGTACTAATCATCACATTTCAATAAAACTTGGTACATAGATGTCATAGAACACTGCACAAATCTGATAGTTTTTAGGGTAATAT